ACAATCTTGAATTCTTCTTTCACCCCGTGGTGCTGGGTAATCACACTGTTTGCTACCATTTTCTTTTGTGAAACTTGTTTGTACATTGATGGCTCCACAAGTACTCAAGCCACCAAGCTCAGCTGATTTCCTCTGGAATTTTCAGAATTTTCTTTCTGTTCTGTTAATACTAATGTTGCTATTATTGTTGTTGGCATTACAATTATTATAACCATTTTAATAAAACTAACAGCAATCAAAACTATAAGTCTTTCCAAAAATGGTAAACAGGTGAGCTAGGATGGAATAGTAACTAACACCATCGTAATTGTGGAGCCACGTGTAAAGACAATCAATAAACGGAAAGATAGTGGATATGGCATGTACTCTCGCCATCCCGTCAACAATGGGTTAAGTAACAGAATTAAAAATCAGATTCATATTTTGAAAATTGCACAATGTGATACCAAAAAGAGAAGTATTTTACTGACAGACAAACACAGTAAGAAAACAAAAATAAGAGATTCTGACTGAACTGCACAAACACTAAATCCATTTTCACATGCATAGTACTCAAAAGGAACTCGGTTGTTTGGTAATCTAACTCTTTTGTAGTTCAGATTTACAATTTTTGTTTTCTTCTGTTTTTTTTTTTCTTTTTTTTTCTTACATTTTGGGTATTCTAAAAGCTCTAACCCAGATAATCAAATTTGTAAAACATGAAAAAAAAGAGCAAAACAGTGCTACAAAATCTTATATCAATTTGCACTAAATCTGAGAATGACATAATACATACAATAATAAATCAGCCATAAAAATCAACAAAGACACTTCATGAATGGTTCTACTTTCTTGTTTTACAGAAGATCAGAGCCATCTAAATCACACATATCACTAAGATACTATATAATTTCATTGCTAAACCACATTTAAAAAATCAGTATGATCCAACACGAGCTTGATATAAATCTATTTTCACATTCATCACACGTTAATGCATGTAAATATATTTCCATATAATTAAACAATCCAGTAACTTGGGGAGAGGGGGTGGGGGTCAATCTTGCTATGAGCATGATACTTCTGTTATGTAAGTCATTTAGATAAGTTCAATGATTTTATTATCTTATCATACCCTCTCCTTTGATCTGGATTTTAATGCTGTAATGTGAATGCTATATTTACATACATATGTATAAAACCAATTTCTTTGATGACCGTATCACACTACCACTTTTTAAGTCAATTTTGCATTTCACAGACAAATGGTCCGATCCTATCACACTGGCAGAGTACCACTCACCTTTGTAAACAATTATGGCACTCGCATAAAAAAAAGTTAGGTCCTAGTTATCACATGAGAATCCTTTTGCTTTATTCTAAATAAATAACAATATGTAAAGGATGCTACTATATTGCAAAAAAGATTCATTCTATGATAACAGGCTGCCCAAATTACTTTACTAGTAAAAACAATCTATTAATACAGATCCTCCATACCACAACATCAAGATGGAAATTAGTCAAATGAAAATGCTTGCTACTGTTTTTCTCTGAGACGCGTGGGATGCACGAAGAAATCCAAAAATTGATGGAAAAAGTGCGAGTGTGATAGAACCTTTACAGAGTGTAACTATAACATTCTACTTATACATTTGAATATTTTCAACTACAATCTACTTTACTTGATTTTTCTTCCATAAACTGCTTTTAATATGTGAAGGGTACTCTTATATACCTAACAGTACAAATGTCCCATAATGAGGAAATGTGCATGGCTTCTGAACTGATGGTGGACAGATACTGAAAGTTCCATTATAATTCTTCTTTCCATTTGGCTCATGCAGTTCAAAAAAAAAGAAAAAAAAAAAAAAAAAAAAAAATATACAAAAACACATCAGTCAATCAATAATTGCAATATTAAGTCCCACCACATCCAATACAGACTTCACTGGATATATTCTATAGATAAACCTTATGAAACGACATTCTACCACATATGACACTGGTCTACTGCAGATCCACACAGTAAACAAAAATCTTTAGTATATCCGACCTTATCTCGCACATAGTTTACCTTGCGAAGCATCTTCCGCCCATAGAAATAGATTTTGTCACGTTTCCGGAACCTAGGTCTGGTCCCGACACCGACAAAGTCTTTGACATCGTCAACTGTGAAAAAAATATAAAAATTGTTTATTTATGAAAGAAAAATCTATGAATATAAATAACAGCAGCACAAAACAATACAGTAACCATATTATAAATATTTGATAAGGCAATATAATCAAATAAGTTAAAATACATACCTTTGCTCTTTAATTCTCGCTTAATTTCATCTGTAATGGCTTTTGGGGAGGAGGTGCGCAGGCGGCATACCACCAACACGAGAAGTGCGATGAGAGCACATGATACTAGAGGAAAAGCAACCTGTAAAGTGTATATATATTTTTAGCCAAAAAAATACAAATGTAAAAACCTGAATGTATAATCCCAGCTAAATTCTTTACTCTCAGGAGAT